ATTTCTGGTTGAGCGCTCATTGGCTGTTGACTGTCGCAGACACAAGAGCCCACCCCTACAACTTGCCACTCGCTACGAGAAACTCAAACCATTTTGATTTCATTGTAGCGAGTCGCAGCGAGTTGTGGGGGCTGAGATGGTGGGGGTGTCACACTACTACTTTTCTTACGATTGTGTAAATGAAGGCTACGACTGAAAAACCTAGGAGAAGTTGTGTTGTGTGACGCCGGCTTAAGTCTTTCAGGGGTCGTTGAGCTTTGGTCAGTTTTTAGTTTTTCAACATTTTTTCGGGACCATGCAAAACATTATTCCCGATGATGATGATTGTAACAGTGTTAATTATCCGACAAGGAAGTTGTTTTATTGCCATTGCATCAGATCCTCCCCTTGTATGTGTTCTAAATTTGTTTCTTACAAGATTGTTGTATGAATGAAGCTACCCGAAGTTTATATTCATTTACACTTCCACTAGGCTTAGGCCCATTTATGGAGGCTTCTGTAATAATATAGGTTAACAAGGGATAATGAATTTAAGATGATTTTCTAAATGTGATAGCTAGAGGCCTGCATCGCCCTGTGAACCACTGTGACATTGGAGATATTTCACATTTTTAGTGGTAATGGTGATGAGTGATGACTAAAGCTTTTGACCTGAAATTAATTGAATACTAATTGAAGGGACAGCAATTATGGCTCAAGTCTTAAGGCAAATAATTTCCTGCCTTTAACCTTGATATCTGAGCAATTTGAGGCAACTTCTGATATGATACTGTTTAACCTATGAGAGACATGCATTTGCATTTCAGGATTAAGTACATTCTATAATTAAATATCTCAGGCATATTAGGCGGCATTCATAATTCTTTTACTCATATAGCTCAATTGACATTTTAATGTTTGTTATGCGTAATTTTCACTCCTCCAGTGTTTTTGTAGAGGACCCAAATAAACTAAAAGTGTGTCATTCTTTACTGTGGAAAGCAGCACATTGGTCAAATATCCCCTTCAATTCGTAGATCTCATGTATTTTTTTCTGAGCATAGTAATTACTGTTATAGAGGCCTCCTCCTTCTTTCCCTTCTCCTCCTCTAAGCGGAAGAATCATCACTTCTCTCCCTCACTTATACTACTAATTGCTCTAATTCACAACCACCTTTTGTCAGTTGTGTTCTGTTTGCTAAGAAATCTGTAATGTTTTTCAATTAGATTTGTGTGGATTTTAACTGCACTTATAGCAGACTTGCAGTGTGTCTCATCTGGTTAAAATGGATATCCAGGATCAGCAAAACAAGTGTAAGCTAGTTATTGTATGCTGAAAATACACCACTTAAAGCACACTCATATCTTGCGTTGCAAGAAATGCTGGACAAATTTGTAAAAGCAGCTACTGATATAAGAAGACTGACTATGAGCATCGTGAAGCCAGCCAGCACAAGGTCTTGCCTATTCCAGTCCTCCCATTCAACATCAGCAAGATACAGCTCAGGAATGGTGCTATGGAACGTCTGTATATTGGCAGGACTGGGCCCAGTGATATGTTTGACAGAAAATTTTGGGGCTTGAATTAGCTGTGCTTTAGTAGCCTCAGTTGTTTGCAGACCTGAAAGTGACAATGTTGTGGGACCTTCACGAGACAGAAGATCTTTGGCACAGTGATATCGGGTTGCATTCTATTCCTCAAGCAGTGTAAGCATACTCATTATGCAATAAATAATATCCAGTTGACAAATCTGGCTTTCAGTGTGAGGAATGTTGGATACTTAGATGGGACCAGTGGCTTGTATAATGTGCATGTTTTCAATTCATGAATTAGGGATATATGAACTTTACCTCTGTCTGCAATCTTTGACTTTATAAAGGCAAACTGTAATTAAAGCATCTTTCAGAATGTCCTGCTGTCTAGCATTGCAAAATGGCCAAAGCTTACAATTTCATAACCCTGAAACCAGGACAAAAAAGTCAAAAGCTTTTTTAAATTTGGTAAGTCCCACTTAAAGCATTCAAAAAAGTCATAATGTAATCTTAATAACATTGCACAGAGCTCAATATTTGTCATAAATAATTTAAATATAATATATAATTAAAACATTCATTTTTATTGACACCCCTGTAGTTAAGATTTTGTGAATCCTCTGGCAAGGATTACACTGACAACACTCCTCCTGTAGTGCAAATGTATTCAATGAGTGTGTCTGTGGAGGTACTGCAGGGGGTCCATAGAAAAATGTTTTTGCAAGAGAAATTTTTCTGGAATATAATTCTGGGTATTAACTATATATTATACATTTTAAACCTATTACTAAGGATCAGACACTTTATTCTTACTCCGAACATGCTATCACGTACTTAACCACTCTGTAATACATAGGTTCCTAATCTTCACCTCTGCATTGACAAATCAACATATAGGATCATTTGGTCAGTGCATTCAACCTACATGTATAGTAATTGGCCATACTCACTGGTGAATATTGCACATGGGGGAAAAAGAAAGACAGCTGTTAAAGGGATAATGGATCGCTTCTTAAATGAAGAACACTGCTCTACCATCCACCTCATCTGAGACTGGTGAAACAAAAGAAACTGCAGGTTTCCCAGCAGCCCAAGGTAAACAGAAAACTGAGAAACTGAGGAAATATATGGAAGAAATTGGGGGAGAGGACATGCGCATATGTGTCAGTTGTTCAGAATCTTGGTCAAATGAATGTTTGAAACCATCAAAGCTGCAGTGAAACAAAACGGGAACAAGGATATTTCCAGGAATGCCTAAAATCTTTCAGACATTGATGAGAAAATCATCAAAGGTGAGCCAGAATGCCCTCAAAGCTTCCTATCAAGTGGAACTGCGAATAGCTCAACGTAAAACAACAAATTCCATCCCAGAGAGACTGATATTGCTGGCAGCCAATGATAAGTAAACACTGATGTCTGTACCGTTGTCAGATACAACGATTGCTTGTGATTGCTTGCAGAAGTTCTGAAATTTTATGTGATTGCTGGATTTTTCTTATGATATAATCTGGGCAAAACGTGTTACAATGTGTACCGATGGTGCAAGAGCTATGAGCGGTATAAAAAGCGGCTTCCTTGCACTCCTCAAAGAGGTTGCACTTCAAGTACTGTGGACACACTGCATGTTACACTGCAGTGATCCAGTGTGAAAGATGAAACGGTGAGCCGTGGAAGGAAAGTTTTCCATGTTTTCATCAGTGGAAAGTACGGTGTAATGGCTAGTGATAGAGCAGACTCGCAGCCGGGATGACAAGCTCAATACTTGGACACTTGGAGGCACTTGATCTTCAATTTCACAAGTACTTTTTGGAGGCCGAGTACTGGCAATGGGACAAAACATGGGTAATGTTTTAAGGAAAATGTATCAGAAGGCTCAGCCGTGACACCCCTTGAACACGACCAACTAAACTCTCCACAGGCCGCATATACAGGAACATTGTCTCAAGGTCTCTCATCCAGGTCAGGATTTGTTACCTGAAGGATTTACCCCAGCTGAGCACAGAGCCAGTGAGGAGCCTTGTGCCATTAGCAACAACGTGTTTTTTTTTTTGGTGTGAAAGTGGATTTTCTGCCCTGGTTTTCTTGAAAAACAAAAATGGTTCAAGACTCCAGCCAGAGAGTGATCCAAGCCTCTGTCTGTCATCCTCCATCTCCCCAAGAATAGAAAAGCTGTGTGCTGCTCACCCAGACCAGTTGTCTTACTGAGGTATGTGTAATGTTTACAGTGACTTTTGTAATCCTTCAGGTTTATTATTGGTTTAATCACCTACATGTACTTAAATATCATAATTATTAGTCATTTACATCAATAAATATAAAATATCAGCAAAAAGTGGAAAAAAAAATATCTTAAATTATAATGGAGTCCCCATCTGTCTTTCTGTCCAGGTAGGGGTGCTTGGATTGTGTGCTTTGAGGCTCTTGCGCTTTTGAAGCTGGATTTTTGACTATTTCTCCAGACAGCAATGCTCTTGGTCCTTTGGTCCCTGTGGTTCTCTCACGAGAACTTCTTGAATTCAAACCACAAATCAGATTAAGATCTGTAGATTGAGACGGCCAGTCCAGCAATTTGGTTTGCACGCGGTTAACCACGTCTTTACCTGTTTGGATCCTTGCCGTACCAGAATATTGCTCACAATGGCATTGCATCTGCTGAAGAAAATATGAGCAGACACATCTGAAGCAAACAGACAGTGGAGCTCTCAAAAGCTAAATAAAAGATGATCCTGGACTTTTACCTTATGAAAATGCCCAACAGAAATTTGGAGCTAAGCTCACCCCTTGTCTTGCTTGATATATATATAAACATGTATCTGTATTTTGCTACCCATTTGGTTTAAGGATTGTGTGCTCGTTTGTACTTTTTTTGTATTCTTCTTTTGTGACTTTGCGGTGCCCTACTGTAAGCATGTAAATTAATCTTTATAGATTGTGCTACTCATGGTCATCAGTATCATCAAAGAACAATAAGGAATGAAGTATTGACCTGAATGTGATACTTGATTCTATTTATCCAAACTTGGCTGCATTTATGTGAGTGATTCTTATTTCAGCTGAGAGAATCGAGAAATGTATATTTTGGTTATGAATAAATTAAGGTTTAAGCATTCTTATTTTATTGAAAAATAATTAAGCACGTTCACTCTTCCACAAATTTCAGTCCAGTTATTCTCATCTACAGAGGTAAATACAACTTCTAGATATTTGATGTTTCATTTTAATTTGAACACCGTTTGAAAGCTCGAATGTTATCCCTTTTTTTCTATTTTGTTGCCTTTTTTTCTTAATGTTTACATGCACAGATTCCCAATCTGATCTAAAATACATGTGATTCAGAGAACCCATAAGAATTAATTCCTTAAAAATTAGATCCTGTAGCTATTTAAAGTAAAATTAGTCAGTCATTTTATTTGGTATAGCACCCATCTAAACTCTTTGCAACAGATAATTTACTCCAGTTCTTATTTCCTGTGCTTGTCTTCATTTAGAAACAAGATGCTGGTCAAATTTTGCTGGATATGGCCTATAACCACTTGGGCCTGATCGAGAAGGAATATTTCAGCCTACAGCACAATGAGGATTCAATAGACTCTCCTGTAAGTTGCCACACCTGACTGGAATAATTACTGCAAAGTGCTGAGAGAGCCAATTCCTCTACCTGGCTTTCTTTGCCTTAGAAATCAAATTGGTCCAACCCCTGATCTGTACTGACTGTGTAAATCTGCAGATTTATTCTACCATATAAGTCAGATTTATTAGAGAAGTGGAAGTTTGTTAATGCCATTGCAAGCATGGAAGCACATTATGATTTCTTAAAGTTTGTAAGAACGTCATGTACTTTATTATTTATTTCCACTTGTTTTCACAGAGGTGGCTTGAACCTAACAAACCTGTCAGGAAGCAGCTGAAAGGTAAGCACACTTAACAGTAAATCAGCATAACTATGAAGAAAAGTTTTTCTGTGTAAACATAACTGTGGACCATGAATAATGGATGCTTGTGTGGATTTGTAAAGCAAAATAAAGAAGTAGAAAGGCTTTTCTTTATACTTTTCAACTTATCTTTTCTTACTTACTGCTGACAGATAATTGAATCATATTGTGTACATTGTGACTTAGTATTGGCTTGTGAATATATGTCCTTACCTACAGAAGCCTGGCCATTAATGAAGGGCTCCCAGAGTTCATCTGTACATGTTTCGCACTCTTCATTTCAGGCTGTAATGAGCCGCTTTGCCTCCAGACAGTTTCCACATGGCTCACACCTTACGTGGAAATGTTTTACTTGTATTAAACATCCCATTAGTTCCAAGTTCCTGTTTATATTAAGCCACAGCCCTCTCTGTAAGTGAGGGACTCTGCTAATGAAATTCCTGGGATTCTTGAGTACAGAAACACTGTACTCTGACCACAGTTAAAGAGCCATGTAAAACTGCCATTGTGCACAAAACCTGCCCTTTTATCCAGGGACTGAAATATGACTGTAGAAAAATTGTACACTTTGACATTTTTCAGGGAGTTTCCCTTGTTCTTTGAATTTCCGGGTGAGGTTTTTCAGCCCAGATCCCAATACCCTACAGCAGGAGCAAACCAGGTGAGTGTTCTTAGTGCTTTTTAAAAAAAATAATAATTTAATGTTCTTTGTTTTGAACCTATTCAGAAAGCTTTGTGTGTAAAGATGTGGTGTCAGATACATTTTAAAAGGTTTTTGGTGCATGATCCACATATCCTCTACTTCATTGGTGAGCATCAGTGAGGTAGTCACCTTTGTAATGTGAAAAGCATCATTTTTTTGCTCTGTGTATAATTTTAACCCATGGTGGAATAGTCTTGCAAGTTATAAACGTAAGAGCCATGTCCTTTTCATTCCATCCATTAAAATTTGTATTCTTTCATGGCGATTATTCATCTCAAATCTCAGAAAAATGTCTGAATTAAATCAAAACTCTTTAACCACAAATTGATTCCAAACTGCAAAACCAGTAAAAGATGTTGTGTTGAAGGGAGATGCTTCTGGAAAATATACCATCAAGTAATTTTGCTTTTGGGCTTTGAGTTCTCTAGGAAGGCAAAAATAATATATTTTTTGGGCATATGATGTGGAGCTTTCATACCAAAGGCCTCGCCTTGTTTCCTCTTTTTTTCCTTCAAACTGGTTATTTGACATTCATGCAAAGGTTTAATGCTCTTGTAACCAAATAACTATGATAATGTCTGTGTTCTTTTTCAGACACTTGTATTTTTTGCAGCTCAAGAACGACATTCAAGAAGGAAGGTAATGATCATGGTTTCTTTCCTGCTGTGTAACTGAATCTGTGATTCATCTTTTTGAGTCAGTCAGTTTGCATGAAAATGGAGTTCTAATACTGCGGAACATTGAGTGGATATTCCCTTATTGGAATGTTCCTGTATTGGAATGGAATATTACAGTTTTGCATTTACTGACCATTGTTATTTAGCATGTTCTGGGTACCATATAAAATAAGCCATGAAGAGTTCTTATAATCCATGTTAAATGTGCTCAAGTAATCGAGTTGGTTGTAAAGAGCTTTGTTCTCGATTTGTTGTTTTATGCATGAACAATTTCATGACATCTCACTGTTTGAGCATTTAAGTATCCATTAGGTTTGCCAACAAAAAACAAAAAAGTGGGTTGTAGATATTACAAAACTGCTTTTTTGGTCACATTCATTCAGCACTGCCTTATTGGTGCAGCATATAGCAGAACATCTTTTTAATCCCCTAGCTCCATGCTAATGCTCTGATTACCAGTGCAGGGATGGTGAATCCAGGTGTTTTGTTTTCATATTGGATGTTGATCTACAGTCATTTCTGATCACAACCTTGGTTTCCATGACTAAATATAAGTATGTAAGAGAGACAATTGTTTAAAATATACTTTTATTTTCCTTCTGAAATTATAGGAATTTCCTTATTCCAGTTTGTGCAAACTTTACATTTGGATGCCTGTAGCCCTTGATCTCTCCTAATGCCTTCCTTGCTATACTATCCTTTGTTGTTGTCTGTCCTCCAGGTTGAGTTGCCCACTCAGTTCTGCAGTTGTCTTGGCCTCCTATGCAGTACAATGTAAGTGACATTGCTAAGAGGGTTTGGCGAATTGAATAGTTTTGGTTAGCATTGGCCCCCAAGCAGGCCTGTTTCTCTCAAGTGTAACCTTTCTTATGTTATCTAAAAGCCTCTGAGGTGTTTTAGTTTGGGTTAAATATCATAAGTTCAGTTCTATTTTTCAAATCCAGTATTCTCTTCACTTCGGACATGAACACTTTTCACTCACCCTGCAGAGTACAGCAGATTATATAATATTTCAGTTTACTTTAGCCAGGTTGTTTAAACTAAATGCTTTTTTTCTGGAGTCCACTTACTTTGTATACATAATTATTCATAATAGTTTTATTTTTTCATTTTACTTCAAAAGGTGGATTTGATATAATATGTAATCTTCATAACTGTGTAGGACTGACAATGTACTGTCTTTGTAGCTGAACTTGGAGACCATTCGGATTCAGAGCACCAGCCAGGATACTTGTCAGAATTCCGCTTCATCCCTGAGCAGGATGAGGACTTTCTAACCAAAGTAGAGTCCCTGCATGAGCAACACAGGTAGTTCTTTCCTGAATTCCTCTTTTTGCATTTATGAGAAGTTGAAACCAAAGAAATTGCTATTTCAATTACAAAAGAGGACCACGTATTCTCTATTATATATCTGTTTTCACCTATGAACATAACCGAATTATGACAACGGGCCATCTGGCCTATCGAAAATGTATTACTTCAGTGATGTACTCTGGCTAATTCAGGAAGCATCCCTATCAATCAGCAGATGGATATGACTGGATATTGTGGTCAGTCTGGCTTCCAAACTCTGTACAATGCATTTCATCCACTGTGTAAGAAGGTGCCATCTTCCTCCACTTTTTTTAGAACTCAGAAATGTTAATCTGGGGAGTTTCGGTCCCCTCAATATTCTTCTGAAGCCTTCTTTCTTTAGGAAATCATTAATATACAATGTTAATAGATCCCATGGAAAGCACTTAAAAACGAACCTCCACATCCCATAATGTGTTTTATTTACCTTGAGTACATATATTTGTCACTCTCAGCAGATAGCTGCTTCATATAGAATCATTTTGTGACTGATGAGCTCATCAATATCATTTTGCATCTGACGTTGCCACAGTCATGTGAAAGTAAATTAAATTTGCCACATCACTTCGTCTCCTATTGGTATTCCTGTGTTTTACTATACCTAGGACTTTGGATATAATACAAATTGCTGTGTACAAGGAGGTTAATTGGTGGCAGAGTGAATTAATTCATGCAGAGTTTACTCTAAATAAAACAACTAGGGGATCACGATGTCATTTAACAAATGTTTTAGAAAAATCACATCTCAAGCCTCTTGCTTAGCATTTTTTTACATCTACTTTGGTTTTAATGCTTTAAATTGCATACTGAGCAGAAAAGGGTATTTTGTTTTTTATTTTCTAAAGGTGACCCCACATGCTGTTCAGTGATTTTATGTCGGGAAACAATTTTCAGATTAAAATTACAGCCAGGAGAAAGAATAAGTTATGACTAATCCCCATTCTCAGTGGTTCTAAAGTAAATATAAAGTAGTTTGAATTCATCTTCCAAATATAGGCAGATAAATTGCAGATAAAATGTTTATTAAATACCATTTTTTTCAATTGTTCACTTGTCAAAATACAAAAAACACATTTGCAGTTGCACAGGCTTGAGTGGCAGTATTTTCCCTAGAGAGATTTTCCAGAGTTCTGAAAGTTACTAATCTGCTAACCTTTCAGAATTACTCTGGATTTTCAAGAAAGTGTTTCCTCAAGGATAAGTGATTCTTTTACGACAATTCAGTTTAACAAATAAAGACCTATAGCTATGCAAAACCGGCAAAAGCACATACATCATTAAATGATAAAATAAAATGGAATGCAAATTACATATTTCACATGTCCCTCTTGTGCTGTACATTCTATATGTTGATTAAGCAAAGAACTAAGCAAGAAAAGAAAAGAACTGAGTGCATACTGTGCAACTGGGCCATTACATAATTATGTGGGGTAACATCTCCCCCTTGTGGTGAGATTGTTTAGCACACAAGAAAATTTAAAAAAACGTCAACTATTGAGATAACAGAGTTTTCGTATCCGTTTTTTTCTTCTTTTCCAGAGGCCTTAAGCAGTCAGAAGCAGAGCTTTGCTATTTAAATGTAGCCAGAACTCTGGAGTTCTATGGTGTGGAATTGCACAGTGCTAGAGTAAGTTCATCTTTTGTGAAGTTTGAAGCAAACCCAAACGTGTTATATATTCAGACTTTGTCTTCAGTACTTAATGTTAGTTAAAATCCTAAACCCATTTAAAGACATGAATATAAATCCTTTGTCTGTTAATGACATTATAATAGCACATTATGCAGGGCTTTGTTGCTGACAGGAGCACCTTATCTGTCTGAGTGGGAGCAGAGATATGCTGCAGGGGTGGAATGTTTTTTGGGGGGAATGTAATTAGCTGACCTCCTTAGTTTGCACCGCAACAGTGGGCTTGTTGACTGTAGAAATCCTGCATATCTTCGAGCTCACATGAATTTTTTTTTTCTTGCTACCAAAGAAAACTATTTACATGTCTGTCTCTAAATATGGTCATCATGCTATCTGGATGCATAGGTTTATGTCTGTCCCATATAACTCATGGGCTGGTTTATTTGCTTGTCAGCTCTGAAAGCTGGCTAGGGGGTCATTCCTGTAGTGACAATCCATTACATTTTACAGTAACACTAGAATTAGACCTTGCTGATTTTCATTTTCTTTTTATGCCTCGCATACGCCTGTATGCTACAAAAAAAGATCCTTGATGAATCCGCCTTTGGTTTTCCCAGACTTTTTTTTTTTAACACCCCCATAAACAGGAAGCGTGGGTGAGGAGACTTCATACAGGCCCAAGTCAAATCAGTCTCGAGCCGAAACTTACAGAACACCCTAGGGCGTGGAGAAGTTCTCAGAGTTTTGTGAATGAGAACTTTGTCTTCAGCTGGTCACACACCACTCAGCTCCGTGCCCTTAGTCCCTTGATAGGGATGAACAATGGTGGGGCTGCTGGGAAATAGTTGACTTACATTCGGTCTGAAGAGGGAATTGCATTTTTAAATTAAAACTCCTGCAAAAGCTGGTTTCTTTCATTTGTGGGAGTAATATCCTTTTTTGTTTTTATTTTTTGTGCTTTCCTGAGTATTATAAGGACCTGTCTGAAAGCACTGGAAAAAAGCTACTTCCCTCAAATATATTGACTATAAAGGCTGCTTAATGTATCTTGAATTATTACTTTTTTGGTCTGCAAAAAGCCCTGAGCTGAACATAGCTTTCATAATAGTTGCTTTTATACATAAATAAAACATTTTATACATTTTTATAAAGAATAATTTTTTGTTGTGTGTTTGCGCACGCAAACCATAGTTTGGAATCCCCTTGCTCTGAGTGGTTTGGGAATAGAATATTGGTGGCTCTTTCTTGCTCATTCCCTGTTTCTTAACACCTGTAAACAACTTCTTATCAGTATACAACTTACAAAAACAAGAAAAGACAACCTGGTCTATCAATTTGATTTGGTGTCCAGTAGCTAATTGATCTGAAGGCCTCATCCAACAATTTTGTCTCCTAAGTAGCTCAGCCTGTAAAGACACTCTCCCAAGCAGAGGCTGAGCTCTCTGATGCAGCAGTGTGATGAAACCATCTTTCAAAGACGGTCAAGAGGGAGGGTATTGCAAGAAAACTGTCCCTGTGTCCCTAATGGAGGCAGATTTACTCACAAAGATGTACAGCACAAAGTTTTTATTAATTTAATTTTAATTCCTCTGCTGGGCAAAAACAATTTAAAAAAATCAACTAGAGCTTAACCTTTTAATGGATTAACACCACAAACAAAAATGAATGACCCAGGTTATGACATACATCTCTACCTCGGAATATGGTTAGAGAAGTAGCCTTACTAAAAAGCTGCATCCGTGTATGCATGAAACAACAACAACAGAGACTATTTCTCTTTAAGTCACACCTGACCACATAGCAAGGTAAGAGTGCAACTATAAACCATAATTTCCAAAAGAACTGCTGTATATAATGGCATACGCTGTCATGAGCTATAAATCCGTGTGGTAAGCATCTGCTCATCACAAGCAGTCCTAGGTCGTGGGATTAGTCAGTTGTGACCAGGATTCCCTAAGGAGTGGAACACAATTGGCTGTATTGCCACCAAGGCTAGCTTTGTAATACATGCCTATGGTGCTCTCTGCAAACACAGTGACATCTGCAGCCTCCTGAGGGCTTGAGGGTTTTCTGCCAGTGAAGGATTCACCTGTTCTTCAATCAGTGCTGAGACAAGTGGCTTGAAGGCTGATGTGTTGGAGGAGTCTGCCAGCACCTCCTCATTTCCCCCTCTCTGGATGCAGGGTTCACAGTTAAGATCTGGGACAGTAACAATATTAGCTTTGATAACATGCCTGGGTAGCTTGTTCCAGACATGCATATACTAGCTGTACAAGACATGCCTATACCTGATATATTAAATTGTTTTACTCTATGTACTATATTTGAACTGCTAGTTACATTTTGGAAAATTACTGCAATTTTGAATCTGAGTTATAGAAATCAGAACTATACAGTATGTTCAGAGAAGCCTGCATGCTGCACAGCTTTCATATACTGTAAGAAATGCCAATCCTCTGTACTTCTTGTGCCACTTTGAAAACTCACAAAGCACATACAGCTCCCAGAAACTCATGTCACCGTTTCTTTTCTCAGGATCCTAGCAATGCTGAGATGCTCATTGGAATAGCCTCTGGGGGGCTTGCCGTCTTTCGCAACATGATTTGCACGAGTTTCTTCTCCTGGTAAGACAGTTAACGGATTGTGGTTTAAGGTTAAGACTGTTTTCTGTTTAATGCCTACTTAAAGGCTTCTTCCTTAATTGATTTCACCTCTTAGTCCCTGGTGTGAGAAATGGAATAGGTGTTTGGTATATAAAAAGCCAGTTTATATCTTACATTTCTGAATTAAACTCAAGGGAATTGGTACTTTGTAAATGAAGATTGCAATAGACAGAGGTGTAACTTAGAATTGTAAGTTTTTTTTCTTTTAACGGAAATTATTGCAGTCTAGTTCTCTTCAGAATGACTTCTAGTGATGATAAATTAAGAAAAGAAGCTCCAGGACTGAGATGTACACATGTTAATGAAATACACTCCAAACAGGGAAAAAGTTTTTTTTCTTAGTACTTTTAATTTGTCATAGTACTTAGTACTGAGCTCCTGCAGCCAGGACCCTGACATAGTGGCTACAATATATGTAAAAGATCCCAGCACAAAGAGCTCTTTTAATAGGTAAAGTTATAATTCATAGATCTAGAACAAATTGTCATTTTAGCCACATGTAACTACATTGGTCACTTCTGAACTTGCTTCAGTTCTTCAATATAAAAAAATATGGCAATCTGTATACAGGGCTTTATGTGCACCAGAAACTGTTAATGGTTCTCTCTGCACATTTGATAGGCCTATGTGAGAAAACTGGTCTAGTAGTAGAAAATCTACTCTTGTACTGTACCACAATATATACTGTAAGTATTAGAACTAATGACATTTAATTCATTTTTACTGCCTCTCTGTAGACATGTTCCAGCATGAGTCCACACATGGGTGGCGAATTCATGCAATTAAAGTGATACATCTCAGTCTTTTAATGTTTTCCCTTGAAACACTTAAATGTTTAATAAAACAAAGATATTAAATATCTGTTGTATTTTGGTATAAATATATATAGGCATCTTAAATATACTGGTATAAAAATGGAGGAAGATTAAACAGAATGCTTGTTTTTACTGAATGTATTTAGTTTCAAAACAAAATGCCTCACATCTGTATTATAGTTTAAAGGGTTGGAAACACGTGTTTATAGGACAGTATATTAAGGTGTCATACAATTGACAGTTTTAAATAATTTAGAAACTTATTTAAAGGTCTTGTTTCTCACTAATAGATGTATTTTGTCCACAGAGAAAATCTTAATATCCTAAATCAATGTTGCTAAGTGTGAACTCATTAAGATATTAAGCTTTTAAGTAGATCATGTTTTAAACACTTTAATACAGATGTCTGTACAAAAAACACCCATGATTCAAGTGATTGTGCTGCATTGCAAAATAGTATTGTTAAAGTTCAAAGTACAACAAAACTTAAGTGTGTTTTTCATTAAACATTGAACAAAACCATAAAACCAATAGCATTAACCAAACTTAAGACATGGTACTGTTCCTTCATTGGAGTAAAATAAACTTTTTAGCACAGTTAAAAAAAATCTGTAAAGGCCTTCCACCAAACACAGATAAACACACATGAAGAAGGCTCCACAGCCGAAACGTTGTGTTCTCTTTCTTTTTTTTCAGCATGGAATAAACCTATTACTTGTTCCTTTGCAGCCTACGCATGCTGACACAGCTACCCACCTGAACTACAGATAAACACAGATATTTTAGTATCGCGGGTTCGCGTCTGGGTCATGCCACTACCCAGCTGGGACTGTTGGGATTCCCCAAATAGCAGCACACTATTGACTGAACACCTCCAAGGATGCAATTAGTTAACTAGGTCTCTCTCATCTCCCAGTGATATAGTGACCCCCGTAGCCTCCCCGGCAGGCAAGGTGTACTGTTGGGTAGATACGCACAACCCTTTCAATCAGCAATGTGTCTCTTCTACAGGGTGGAGTTACCTATAAAGTGTTCAGAAACAAATGGCTCAGGTCAGAGCTGTCAGCCTGCTCCTCTCCTTTTCTGAATTGAATTGAAAAAAAAATTGCAGGTTCTAAATTGATCCTAAAAAAAATCTTACTGCTGTCATTCCCTTTACATGAGCTCTACAAGTGACTGACTCTCGTACTGCTCAGTCAAGTATGACGTGTGTGTAGTTACACTGGGATTTTTCCAATTGGTAATTTCTTGGCAATCAAACCCTTGGCAGGGTTTTTCCTAGATATGCATCAGGTCTTTTCTGCTATTTGTTTCTTTTATTTTCCTGTAAAGCCTTTGTTGTTCCTCTGTTAAAGCACAGAAAATCATTAGCCTTGGCCCTCAAGCTGGCAGGGATTCCATGATGATTCAGTCATGCCAATTGTCCAGACTTCAAGTGATTGGAACTGGGAGGGGATTGGTTCTAACAGGGTTGGCATGAGTTCCTGTTTTCTCTTCTAGCTCTTTTCGAATACATTCCCAGCTACTGTTCCTCTTTGTTTTTTTTTTATCTGTTCAATTGCATGATGCCGAAGGAACTGGAGCCGAGACTTGATCTTAAAAAGGAACTGAGCAAGATATTTCCCAAACTCTTACTATTTGCATAAAGTGTGACACTAAGAGTGAGAATTATAACACAATGAGCAGCACAGTTAGTTGATAGGTCACAAATCCTAAACATTTCCTGTGGGCCTGTCAAACAACAGATTATCGAAATGTCACCTAATTATATTAGAAAGGTTACAAAGAACAATTTCATATTTTTTTACATTTTAAACATTATTACTTTTGTTTCTTGGTAACCAAAGTTTTCCTGTTTCTTTTTTTTCTTCTAGGGTCAACATTATCAAAATTTCCTTTAAAAGGAAAAGGTTCTTTGTACAGTTAAGGCAGAAACACGTAAGTGAAATCCCTTTGATTTTCTGCTATGTGGGTTTCACCTTACCTCCTGTTGCCTTGACTTAAGGTGGAAAAATGCTGTGGCTGGCAACAGATTGATATCTCCTGTGAATGGGCCTTGCTGGGGCTCTTGATGAGCTCTATCACAGGGACAGTGCAGTGGTGATCATGGAGGGGGCAGGCTTGCCTCAGAGCACTGACTCAAAAACTAAACACACTGGCATCGGGTTTAAAAGAAATTGGAACTTTACAAAATCCAGCATATGAAGCAGTAAAATATAGTCATGTAATACACTAATAATTAATCTTAAATTAATTGTGAGTTTAAATTAATAAGATATAAGAATGAGACTCTTTTATTTTAAAACTTTGAGTCCTTTTTTTCAATTCTTAATACACCCGACAGATTTCGAATCCTCCGATTTCACAAGAGGAGAAGAATGAGGTATTTGCAGACTTCTCTGACCTGCCTGCCTTGACTCGCTGGTCTTTTAATGTGTCACAGGCTACAGTATAGCTATCACAAGTATATTTCGCCAAATTTTGTAGAAATAGTAATGTCTGCCAAAGGTGCTTCTACATTGCCTCTGTATTGACTCAAAGGATGTGAATACTTATGCATATTAGTTGTTTTCTATATTATGCTCATAATTAATTTAGTAGGATCTATAAAATGTTGTGTGCACTTTGAAACAGTTCTGTGTTGATCAGTGGCCAAACTCCAAGCTAAATACATTATGATTCCACTTTGTAACACAATAAAATGTGAAGAGGACTGAGAGAGTGAATACTTTCAGCCACTGTAACTCCTTGCTGGAGGTTCAGTGCTGATTGGACCAGTAGGGTGCCCTTGTTGCCTGTAAGTGCCTGGGACGTGGATTTTGACAACCTATAGAGCCCTGACCAGCTATTCCCACCCACCCTCAGCTGACTGTCATCATTTGGCGAGTCTTGGGCACAGTCAGCTAGTGATGCGATGCTGGTTCAAGCTCATGATGCCTGGACACCTTGCCATAGCAAGGCATTAAAAACACTCTTACTCTATTTGTTGTAAGTTTATTCATATAATGCATATTCTAGAAACCACTTGTTTTACCACAAAATAAACCACTTGTTTTGAGAAAGTTCAAGGAAGTGAGTACCTGTACTTTTGATAGCCGCTGTATGTGATCCAGGATGATAAAAACAGTGAGAAAGGGGATACTTGTATATTGTACAGTGAGTTGTTTCTTAAAGCACATTTACAGTACTGACAAACCAGGGTTTTAAATGACCCTGGATAAGAATAAAGTATTTGTCCAGCCCCCACAGTATAAGAAGATGAAAGGTGAAACTATTATAGTGCCAACCACAAGACATTATTTCAACTATTTTAGAAATGCGAAGAGCTAGGTGGTGCTAAAATATTTTCAGCTACTTTTTGAAAGTGAAGAGCTTGCCTCCACCTACCTGTGAAATACCACTGTTTAGCACTAATGGCTGAGTGCTGCCACTTGGGGAATCCCAGCAAGCAAGTGGTATGACCCAAGCTCAAATCCACGATGCCTGGGTCATAAAGCTCATCTTAAACCATTTGGTTAAGCCATTTGGGAGTTCACAGGATTATCTTCAAGATGTAAGATTTTCTTTATTTACCATATACAACAAGTGTATTGGAATGCGTACTCCACCCAGTAACTTTAGAGAAAAAAAATAGGCACAAATGACAAACGGACATGGACAATAATAATAATAAACTTTATTTTATATAGCGCCTTTAAAGGTGGCTTCTCAAAGCGCTTTAAATCTAGTACAGGAGCCATGTTGTAGTATGTTTTTGACGTTTTACTGCTCAAGGCCATTAACACCTTTCCAGGACTTTACTCCTTAGCCATCATGAAAAATATTTAAAGAAAATGTGAAGAAAACCTTAACAGGTACACCTTAACATTTACAGTAACTGTAACTCCTTCAGTTGAGGAATTTTCTGATTTAGGCCACTAGGGGGGTTAGGATCATAATATAAAATGAAACCGAAGAGAAGGATTTTTGACTGAAACCTATATTTCTAGCGCAAAATGCAATGCTTTAAGTACTTTTAAAACTGAATTTTCTTTAGTCACTATTTCTTTTTCAAAGTATTGTATTTTGTCAAGTCACACCTTCATTAGGGTTTGCAGCAGTGTTAATTTAGTCACTAGTTTTTGATTGTCATAGTGTTAGTCAAGTTGACTAAAGTGTCTTATTAATCAGTCACTGTATAGTCATCCACTTTTAGTATGAATTAGTCAACTAAATTCTGACTTTAATCTCTTAATTTTAGTTGACTACCAACAGAATTAGTTTTAGTCACATTTTAGTCAAGCAGATAATTTGTAACACATCTGATCAGATTCTGTTAAAAAACAAGTCTTTTTAGATTGTGAAACAGTGTGCTGATCCCCAGAAAGGTCAAATATCAAATACAAGAAATATTTGTGCAATAAAGGGTTAATAATAAATAATCTTATCCAGAGACATCATATGAATCTTTCCTAATAAGAAAATCTAGTTTGTCACTGCTAATAATAATTCCTTATTTTTATATAATGATTTTTGTTCAGTTATTTTTTCAAAGCAACTTTTTTCAAAGTTTCAAAGCAATCTAAACAAACATAATTAATAAATAACTTAAAAATAATAACAATAATAAATAAACAAATGTAATTAAAGAACATTCTTTTCTATATTCTGTAGCTATTACATGCTATGAAATGTAAAGTACCCAAAAAGCATTTTACAAACTCACTTTAACATTTTGAAAATAAAATGTAGACAACAAATCACATTTCTCACAGAGCGCAATAACGAAGCAGAAAAGAGCCTGGCGTGTTCAACCGATTTACACATTAATCTCTACCCAAGACAAAAAATAGTAGTTCCCTAATACGCAAACTGTAAAAGCTTCGTTTTCTAGTTAATTTGTTGACTAGCTGCAGTATATAAAACTGTTGTTTTAATGCAAACGTGTCTACGTACTGTGATTCATAATGGTGCTTCAATTTTTTTTGTCTATTTCAGCTGTTAATGTAGCCGCGTTGTGTTTATCTTTAGTATTTTTTTACAATAACTTTTCCTGGTTTGCTTGTCCTGCAGTGCTGCGAAAAAAGTAATTCGGACAAGTAATTGCACAAACTGTGAACTTCATGTGACCAAATTCATTTCAGTATGAGTTTTAGTCAGACAGGTCATTTTGTCTGGTCCTAATTCACTTAAACGAAAAAAATACAAAGCAATTTAATCTTCATCATCATCACTGTGGATTATTTTCATGAGCATTTCATCTTCATTAACTAAAATGAAAAACAAAATCGCTCATGATGAGATTTTCATCATGACTTTTGTCGACTAAATGACACTGCAAACCATTGTTAATATGAAACCATGTTTTGGAACACTGGAAAAGACAATACCAAGCATTACTCTTCACCATATGGACAATGGTTGCTTTATTAAAAATAAAAGATGATTAAAAGATGGGTGGATGGATGGAGATAAGATGGGGGTATATCTTCATATTTTACTTGAAATGTCTCACAATTGGTTTAGGATCATGAGTGGGTTAAGACAGATTTTTTGAGGGTTCATAAATAAAGTAGATAGATTCTGTCTTTTAATAAACATGTTTTTGCATTGTTAGGGTGAGACTCGAGACTACTCGGTGGCCTTCAGCATGCTGAACTACAGAGCATGCAAAAACCTGTGGAAATCTTGCGTGGAGCATCACACCTTTTTTCAGACCAAGAAATCACTACCTCAGGAAAAAAAGCTGCTGTCCAACTACTGGACCCTCGGCTCCAAAGCCCCTGCCAAGTGAGTGGCTCTACCGGTAGAAAGGTAGCTTCAGTCAAAAATGCTGGGGTATAAGAGTTGTTCCCAGACATCTCTTAATAACTTGTAGTCATTCCTTCTTTTGTCACCTGCTTTCATATTTCTGCCTGGCAAAGTAGCACTTTGTGGTATGTAAAGACGTTTTTTTTCTTCTCCATCCCCAAGTCTGTTTGCACTAGTCTTCATAACCTGAGCCACATAACTTTTAGCTATATTGTATTGGATCTGGAGTAGTGTTGAGGCTTCAGAGGAATGATATGGCAAAAATATCAAAATACAGAAATAACACCACCAAAATGTTTAATGTTTGTATTTTGTGATAAATTATTGTGCAGAGACCAGATTTAAGATTTGTAATGTTTCTGTAGATGCCTGTTGCAAAGGTGATATTTTTATTTTGTCATCTTCTCTTAAAGGTGTGTAGTTTTATCACCTTTGGTATTTCTACTTCTTTGGAAGATTCAGTTTACTGTACTGTACAGTATGTGCTGCTTCACAAGTACACAATAAATCTCAACTCAATTTCCCTCTTTGGGGAAGTGGAAGGATCCACTGTTTGCAGGTAGCCTGCACAGTATAGACATTAGAAACCCTGCTGCAAAAATCTCTGATTATTTCTGAGTAGGTTGGGAATGTGATGTGCAGTGCAAAAACATCACACACAGAAAAAGTAACCCTTCTCTGTTTGCAGCTATAACCTAAACCATGCTCTCCATGTCCTACATTAGATCAGCCCATCCCTAGCAATTTGTTTTCCTTTTTAAGATTAAAGTTTGTTTCCTAGATGAGATCTAAACAAAAAAAAAACAGTACTCTAGGCACAGAAGGGAATTTAGCACACAATTTGTGAGATCTGCTAATTCAATCATTAATTAGTTCACTCTTGGATTCTGGAACACTTAGCACTTGTAATTAGTTTATGATACTATCTAAAACATTTTAATTTCTTTAAACATTGCACTGCTCTGCATAACATTTAATATATTGTTAATGATGATAGGCATTTTTATATAAATGTAAAATAAATATATACAAAGCACATCATTAACAATATTATTAATTTCCTAAAAGATATCCAGGGAAAACACTAATTTGAGACTAATCTTAATAGCAATTGACTAATTCACATTTGGTATGCCAATAAAACACATTTACGTTCATATTTATGTCTTATTTATCTTTGACAAGAGCATGTATTCATTACAAATCTATACTCCTGTGTACCAATAAATGAGTAGCTCAGAATATCCAGTAATTACTTTTTCTTGTTGTCAGATGGTTTTCTTAAGAGAAATTAAGCTTGTGGATTTAAGGTATGGCTAATGTTTAGAAATGATTCCTCCTTTTTCATAGTAATCACCAATTAACCATGGTCTCTGCAGTTCAGATCTTAGCCTTGCTTTAAGAAATATAAGCCCATTGATTCCGTCTTATTTAATTTCCTTGGGTGGTGTATGATGGTAGGGACTGTAGTGGGGAGTGGTTCATTTTCCTTTCTGTCATCTTGAAGATATAAACTGTTGCTATTAGTGTGCTTTTATTGTAAATGGTTTCTAAATTGTTTTCTGGGCCAGCACAGTGTTCGTCTTCAACATCTCCCCTCCAGTCTTGCACACTTGACCTGCGCACGTGACATGCCTCTTGTGCACAACTCTAGTGCAATGCATTTGCATTGAAAAGGCTGTTGCTTTACAGCAGCGTTTTTGTGCCATGTTCCTTGTATGTTACAATTTGAGCACAATAGTGTTACTTTGTTACAGCAATAAAAAAATGCCTATATTACAGGGACAGAGTTATGTTGTTCAGTACAAAAAGGTATACTGTACTGCATTTTTGTGGTTGTGTGGTTGAAACAATTTTTATATTTACTCCTTTTGGTCTTTTCTGTAGTTTTTGCAGACATATGTGTAGCAATCCCTCCTTTTTGCTTTGAAAGAACAGGGAAATTGTGATATTCCTAGAAGGATCTGAGTCTGTTCAGTGAATACATTTATCTGACTTATTTTTGAAAGCCAGCGTGGCAACACTTGTCTTGCTAGCTGTAATTGATTTCAAGTGCAAAGTCTCTTCAGGAGTATTCAGATCCTTACATGAAAACATCAAAAGCCTGGGTATTCTGCACTTTTGACTCTCTTCCTTAGGTGTCTTTAGGGATATTTCCTTCCCAGTTTCATCCATTTTGTGGTTGAATTCCCCCAGATCCATCAACAGCCAGTTCTGTCGGAAGGTCATTGGAGGCATGGTGTGGAATCCAGTGTTGAGAAAATCCTTGTCCATGGAGCACCTGGAGACCAAGAGCCTTCCATCACGCTCCCCACCAGTGACACCAAACTGGTAAGATGCCAGAGCTGAGCCACACACAAGGAGCTATTCAGGCATTCTGGTGGCAGGAATTCCACAGTTCTGTTCCATTTAAATACATTACTGGGAAATGTCTTTATTATTAGTAGCATTAATGCTTCTCGCAATTCAGGCCAATACAGAGAGACAAATGCAAGGAGCTGGTTAGTTCTGTCAAACATGGTTATTTTTCTAAAAAGGCTGCCTTCAGTTCATTACTCTGTAGTAGTGAAGCACAAAGAATATGCAGCAATCTTCATGATTATGGACAGTTTAAAAGAAGCTTTCTTAAAATACAGTCCACAAGTATTCAAAAATGACAGCCTTAATAGTAGTAGTAGTATTATTGCAATTTTATTATGCAGTTTATAATGCTTCTTAACTAGAACACTGCAAGCAGTATAACAGAGTGAACTACTGTACAAGTAAACAGGTAAACGAAAAAGATTGTTACCACATTATGACTTCAATGGCTGAACAATTTTTGGATAAGTGCAATTAGCCCTTTCTACAGTTTATTTTGACAAACAGGTTTTAACCAATAGACTTAAAAAGAGTTGAATGCAGGGTCTAATGAAATTAAATCTGCCAAGTTTCATGTCAGTTGGTCTAACAGTTCCTAAGACTGCAGGTTGAAATGAGGAAACGTGTTCCGAGGCATACGTTAATGCAGAATTCTATATCACTGTATTGCATTAACTCTATAATGAAATTGCACCATTACTATCATTTCAAGGTTTGACTTAATTAGATAAACAGTTTTTGAAGAAGCACAGCATTACCCATGACCCACTGTGAGTATAAAGTATACAGTTCTGTGAAAAAACGTCCTAATGATATATGAAGAGCCTATATGAAAAAAATTACACCAACGTTTGGAGATTTACCTTAAGAAATAAATGAAACATGCAACATCCAATACCTAAGTATTTAAAACCTTTGCTATGGCAAACTTAAATTATCTCAAATGCACAATACGTTTATGCAAATGCATATAATTACCCTAATAAGTGATAAGTGATTTTCATTCCAGGTTTTGTAGACATTTAACTTTTTTCACCCATAAAAATCTTCAGTTTGAGTATTCGAGTTTTGAATACTAAGGATTGTTGGGGAAAAAAAGGTGGTTGTTCAAATGAACATGTGAACAGAAATATAAGAGTTATGAACTTGATGTGGCAAGTAGCTGTTCCAGAAGCATATGCAACATTTTAAAAATGTGTATAAATCATTTGTTATTCAATATTCAACAAAATGACATGTCATTGGAAGGGAGTGAATAATTTGTAAAATACTTAAACAGTAGATGTTTTGGAGTGAAAGAAAGAGTAGCTGTATGAATAACATGTTATATTTCTATACTATGAAACTTTATTAAATGTTTCCATGATGGCAAGCTGGATTGCTGGAGCCTCCTCAGTGTGATGCAAACATGAAGCTGTTCATGTCTTGGCTTCACAAGCTGAGCTTACCTGGGTTGTCCGAGTGTAGCCACTGGATATAGCGGATAACAGGCCTCTTTTCCTCGTGGCTATCCCTGCAGGAGAAGCCCTCGACTGCGGCACGAGATTAGGAAGCCACGGCACTCCTCCATGGACAACCTGGCCAGCGAGATGAGCTACATCACCGAAACGGAGGATGTCTTCTATACCTACAGGGGGACTCTAGGAAGCAAGGACAGCGACACAGAAGCCCCTCCGAACCACGGCACCAGCAGGAAGTAAGATAACAAGGCCCCTCTGGTCTTCGCAGTGGTTTTAATCACGCCCACTGACAACTAAAACGCTTTTTAGCTCATTTAAAATGCAGGTGCACAGTGCAATTCGACTGATGCTGAATCTTTAGGGGTATGACACGTCACAGTGCAATGTAATTCAGCCAAGGTTTGAATCATTGTGTTTGCATTAGAACTCGTGCAGAAATCTCCACTCTTTTAAACAGGGGCATTTAAGAAGTATTCCCTAATATCACAGCATTAGAATGAAAAGGTTTCAAAATGACAAAGAATATATTAATTGGATCGGAAGGAGTAAAGGCAGCACACTTTGATCCAGGTCTCCACTCAAACCACTTAAACAGACAGAAAGACAGACAGACAAGTTAGCTCAGCTGGCAAGACCTGGGTTCGAGCCAATGCAGTGAGGCACGAACTAGGGTGGGAGCGGCGAGGGCACAAGCCCTAGAACCCGAATCCGTTACAATAACAAAAGGACAGACAATGAAATATGGGCTATTTCGAAGTCGCAAATGTGAGATACCATATCACGTTTTTTTTTACTCCCTGGCGGAAATGGGCTTCCATATAAACCTGTTAATCTTTCATTTATTTGTTCACGTAGACCATATTAGAAATAAACCTGAATCTACACACAGGTGTTATGCATGCTGGAGGCACAAATAATGAACAGTTGCAGCAAAGAGATTCATATGAAGTCATATAATGCATTATACTGTACAACAGGAATGAATAAGTTACATTACTATGTGAAATGTATTCATATTTGGTGTGTTAGCCCTCTTGTATTCACATAAAATATATTTGTGATTGTAGAATGACATTGACGTATGGAAAATTGAACAATAGTAGAAGTTTTGCCAAATACCAAGTCCTGAAGTTGAAGCAATTCTCGAATGTCAAACTCACTCACAAAACTGATTACACTACACCATGATAGCTGTTCAGTGCTTCTGTTGAAGGTGAAGCTCAATAAAAGCATATGGGTGGGGTATAAGGTGTTTTAAAAAGAGCAAACCTTTTTTTGAAGATGTCAATGGAAATCAGTGCTTAGAATTTTTCAAAATAAGCAAGCAAGAAGAAGAGCCCCCATTGAGCTACAAATACAGCAGTACTGAAGTGCGTTCCCATGCCAACGGGATAAAGCAACTATGAAACTAGAAAGCTATTTAAATTAATGTGAATATGACAGCAAGGATAAACTGGCTACACTCCAAGATGGGAGTAATGTGATCGCTTTGCATGTGACCTGGTCATGATTCTGACTGCTGAATCCTGGACTTACTGAAGTTTGTTCAGTGTGGATTTTGATACCCCTTTGAGTTAACACTCTTTTCATTTAAATGGATGCTCTTTTAACTCAGTTTGTTTCATTGAGTGCCCTGCTTCATGAAAATCTCACCATGTTGTCATTTTAAATGAGATTCAAGGGATGGCAGTGGTGTCCCACCCAGATCTGTCCCTACAACCCTTTTTTCTGGAGTCTGCAGCTCTAGCACTACTGCTCTCCGATGGGTTCATTGTGGCAGTCAGTGTACCATTGATTTATTTTCAGAAATCTTCACTACCCTTGGCAAAGATGCTCATATTAATCCACTGTATTATTTACTGTAGCTGTTTTTCATGGGCTGTGATAACGCCTCCCAGTCCTCCCTCAAACTGTTTTTGATTATTACCAAACAGTTCAAACTGTGAGTCATCTGTCACCACAATGGTGTCATTGATTATACATTATACTTTGGAAGTCCTTATGTGGGTAGTGACACTTTCTGTTTGTGTGCATGACAGCCAGTCACACAGTATTATGTCAACAAAGAACTACAAGAGTGCATTTCATTTTTTCCTTCATGATCTACATGATGGTGTTCTGGGTTTTCTTTGCCACTTGCACCAATTTCTTTGTGTCCGTAATGTTTCTGTATATTTTCTAAGTGTTTTGGAAAGGATTAGGAACTAGGCTTTATTAGACTTTTCAGAGTTTTGAAAGTAAAAGCTTATCAACTTCCAATCCACCTCCAAAATTTTAGATATGGTTATAAAAATGTGTAAGACAGTTTTGACTGTGATGTCTGAAATTGACCAATTTCACGTTCAAAGGCAATTGACTAGTTGCCTTGCTACCAGGCAGGAGATATAGGAAAGTTTTGCCCAAATGTAGTTTGGGGCTTTAATACACACACAAGGACAGACTTTTGGGTATTTTAAGCAAATTCTGATAGCATAAGAATGAGGTTAACCTCATGAAGAGGATGTCTGCAACAATTGTATTGGTCAGTTAGTTGATTTCTGGGAAAAATTGCCTTGGTGTGAGTGTGTATATATTTGTGTGTGTGTGTGTGCCCTGTTATAGAGTGGCATCTTGCCCTGGGTGTGTCTTGCCTAGCATCCATTGGTCACCATGATTGATTTAAGCTTTCCCCATGTCACTGTACTGGATAAAGCAGTTCTAAAATGACTAGATGGGAAAATAGAGATTTACAATAGGTTAACAGTACAATAACTGCATCAATCTCAGATGTTGATATCAGACTCGGTAATCAAATGAATCAAGAATAATCTGTTCTTTCTTTTGTTATACCTGCCTGATTTGGAGTCGCTGGTTGTGAGTTTTTCATGTCCAGGCTTGCAACTGCAAACCCCATAACCGCACACGGGAGAATGAGGAAGTGCAGGCAGACTCCTCTGACCCGCTCACTTTGGAGCAGCTCATCTTTTATAGCAGGCAGCTCTGCCCTGTGCTGTACTGGAGGCTCAGTACCAATTGAAGGAGAGGGGCATCCCTCACCAACAGCACTGCAAATCTAGATATCTGGTTTTGGACGCCACAGGGTTTGGGAAGGTACTGTGTTTTCTGAGCCCAGAACGTCCTGGCCCACTTATCCCACCACCATGTACCCCCATTTGGGGAATTCCAGTCATATTCAACTTGTGACCTAAGCACCAAACCTTGATCATAGAGGCCGTCCTGAACTCAAGCAAGTACCCCAAAAATCTGTTTCCGTTTTTCATTAAAGTCTCTAAGAGCACTTGTGATATCAGATGAAGAAAGGTGAGTTTATAAAATAGCGGGGATAGGAATAATTTCATATATCATCCATTTTGAAATATATGTCCCAGTTCTTTACAAATCGTATTTTTAAACATATGATTTTGAAAGTCTTAAGGCTTTTAATCTATTTAAAAAGATAATGTACACTCCAGGGTGCTTTATGCTTGCATGTATATTTAGATATCGGTATGTGTGCCTGCAGCAGCCAGTTTCAAAAAGTGATAACTTTACTGAAGCCATTAACACTTCATTTTGATTGAGGCCTACCCTGAGCCATGCCAGTAGGCTGATTACGACATTGTAAAACACTTTGCAGCACATCTTAAAACAATTGAGGGAAGCGCATGAATAAATAACAAACTGTCTTTTTATAGATCTCAATTTCAGAACAGCTTCCTCCTTACGGGATGCTGACTGTGCATCGACTGATATGGAAGCCCTTAGTCACATAGGAAGCCAGCCTTACAGTAAATGCCATTTATTAATCATTGATATCCCCAGATGTCTGGACTTTAAAATAACAATTACCCCCAGGCTTTGTGAATAAGCAGGAATACAAGAAGAGTGAAACTGTTTAACAGAAATGAAGGGAGGTCTGAGGAAACAAGTGGATTCCTCTAATAGACGAGAGGAAACAGTTATGGCTTTTCTAGAATCCTGCTACAGGCTAATGAGCTGTATAGTGAAATACAACGCCCCTAATAAATCGTGAGTTCCCTGAATGATAGCCGTCAATGAGCCTTACTGCGTACAAATAGCTGACGGAGCTTCATTAATGTTTCTTTGCAGGCGGTGGTTGTAGTCTTTGTCTGTGGCGATTGAAGCCCTTGTCTATTTTTCTGTGTCAGCTCTGCAACCAGATCTTTTTTTCCTTTTCTTTTGTTCCAGTGGCGTTGCAGCTGTTTCCTCCAGACCTGAGTTGGGGGAAGGGGGGGAAGCCGTGTAAAAGCATTTACCCGGTTGTTTCTCCTGTTGTACCCTTATTGCGTGGCTAATGTTATTGTTCCGTTCAATTTACGGCTAACTGTGATCCTGTGGAAGGCTTTGATGAAAAGAGCTAGGTTCAAGTGTGTTTGGAGCTTTTTCTGTTTTGTGATGTTTCTTCCTTTTTTCACATTATCTTAAGAGGGGTCTGGGAGAGATTCCAAGGCAAGCAGCTTTAGCCTTCTAATCAGATATAATTGTAAATCCCTTGGTACTGTAACTTGAGCACAATACCAGCTCTGTGCCCTTTTCCTGGTTGGTTGAGGGGTGCAAAGCTGTGTGTGGCGTGCCTACTGGAGCATGCAAGAAGATACAGCAAGCTTACTTTCTTTAACAACGGGAGGTCTATTGCTGGGAGATGAAGTTCATTGGATTCTGTGGTAAGTCTTTAAATACAGCCTCCAGCTTGACGCTCATGCACAACACAGCAGTACTGCACTAAATTGTAGTGAAGTGAAATAATTTCAGGTTGAAATAATGTAAAGTGAAAGCTGATATGGCTTATCTGTCTTGTTGAATATCCTCCTTGGTAAAGAGTCGAGCTGTACTTTCTAGTTTTAACAGTGATGGGTCTTTTTTTGTTTTCAGTGATTTAAAATACCTGTTCTTGTCTTAGTGCTTTATTTCATTGTATTTTTATCATGTAGTTCTTATCAGATAGTACATTATTCTTGGGCAAATTGTGAGCACATTCTTTACTAATTTACTGTATGAGAGCAGGTTGCCCACTTGACCAGTAGCAGCCCTTGTGTTCTGCTTGTGATGAAGCTCAAGGCCTTATGTCCTACAATATTTATTACTAAATATTCCATAATTACTCCTCATACTCATGCTACTCTTCTTTTGCATTTGTCTAAAATTATTCAATGTGGATGCTCATTTAAAGACTGTTTTTCAAGATTCACCTTCCATAAATAAAACTGTTCTCAAGGTGTAAGTTTTCATTTGCTTTAGTAGTATAATTTCATGCAATGTGAATGTCTTTTGAGTCCCTTTTGTGATTTTCTTGCACTTTTACTAAGCTTGCATTAAACTGCTGATTTAAATGTAAGTATTGCAATACATACAGAGCCCACCCCTCAGTTTCAGAATAGAATATTATCTAGTTACCTGCTGACTATGAGACAAGACTACAGCTTGAGAAAGGTTGTCAGAGCCAGAATGGCGATAATGGATTTATCAGGATAGCAGGTGCATTAAATCTTTTCTCAAATCAATGTTAAATTGATACAGGCTTCAACTCATTTTCTCCCCCAATGAGCAGGTGAAACTGCAGGATTTTAGAAAGTATCTTTGATTGTCTGATTGGAATAGCATTTGAAGAACTATTTTAAGTAGTGAGGTTGTTACCTTGTATATCCCCTGAGTTTATGCAATAATACTATTTTATATGGAAGAGCTCAAGTACTTTTTATATTGTTAATCAGTTTTGGCTTTTTTCTTAAACTGACAATGAGAAATAGATTTTTTAAATTAAATTTATGATTAAATTTCAGATCATGATCAAACCAAATTTCTGAAACTAAAGCCCATTCGCTTACATGTCAGCTCCGGTACTTGCACGTTAATGAATTTATTACTTAAGATGAGTTTTGGTATACTGTATACTGAATCTTTTTCCATCTCATTTTTCAGATTTTTTTCTATTATACATTAGTAAGTGCTTAAATGAGGTTGCAATATTTGATGTTTTCTGTGTGTGAAACAATGGCATTTTAGAAATTTGGAAGTATTCCAAGCACTGAGTGCTTCAAAATGGCAAAGTGTTGTAATTGAGTGATTTTAACTGAATGGTTTATTCTCAATCATTAACTTTTGTATGTAACCAGGATTGTGTTGTTGTTTTCTCCCCTCATTCAAGACATACTGCTCTGTAACTGTCATGGCCTGTGGTGCAGACAGAAATATTGCAGAGATGAGACAGTATGATAGTATAGTATAACATGATGTTGAGAATATCTTTTTATAGACTATGGAATTGCTGAACAAAATGAGTGCCGCTGGTTCTTGGTTCCAGGTGTACAGTAGTTCATTCTGATTTTGTCTCTTTTATTTAAAATAATCTTTGGAATGCTTTGTATTTTAAGTTCTGGATTTCTCTACAAGGCAGGATAAAAGACTCTGAACGCAATGTCCGTTTTCTATAACATTTATAATAGCTTTGTAATAGCTTTGTTGTTTTTTTTTCCACAGGTCATCTGAATCAGAATTGCCAAAGTAAGTTTTTACATTATTAGGTACTTCTACAGGTGATAAAGTGGAAATTAAAATGCTTATACGTTTCTTACCTTGTTCTTTTCCAAATAATATATTCACTAAAAGATTTACATTGCATAAGTGATTGAAGTAAATGCATCTTAAGGGTTTTACTTTTACTAAGTACAAAAAAACAAGTGTTTCAGACAGTGCTGTGCATTGTGAGAAATAAATCAATGACGCACAGGCCCAATGGCTGAAGTAGTAATTAAAAGAAGGTTCTTTTACAGTAAGTCTTAAAGTAAGCCACTATTTTGACAGCAGAGAGCGGTTTTAGCACCTTGCAGCCTGTTCTTGTTAGGTCTCAGAAACTAAGCATGGCTGGGCCTCGTCCATTCTGCTCCAAGTTGTTGGTGGACCACTAGGTGGCACTATTCCCTCTGGTCCTGTTGAGCTGTTCAGCCGATACCCCATTATAGTGACCAAAGGACTTTGCATTATAAAAGGTGTGTTCTTTTGGATATAACATTCAACCACATTACTGACTTCCTCGTGGTTAAAGAATCCATGGTACCATATGTAGGAATGTGGGTGTTCACACCACTGCCCAGACTAAATTCTGGCCGTGTTTTGCATAATCTGCTCTCCCCACTATTCCTCTTTAATTTAGGAGCTGAAGTGATTTCTCAGTTTTCTACCTGACCTCCTATTCAGTAGCTCTTAGGCCACATAATAGCTGCTGTGTATCAGCCAGGTGGATGCTGCACCTCTGTGGTAAAGTGTCTCCCTTTTGGGAACCTTCAAGATCAAAATTGCTATACAAATGCAATAAATACTCCTAGCATCGCTACTACTTTTTACGTTTACTACTACACAATAGTAATAATACAACACAAAGACTTCAAACGTCTGGAAGAAAGTTTATCTTCATTTTTAAAGCCCATTCCTTTTTTCATTTAAGAAGAGGCTGTGTGAGATCCTTAAATCAATAAGCTTCAAGCAATCAAATAATCAAGATTTTCATATTTACTTCCTGTCCTTTATGCAAGTCACAAAGGAAAAGAAACCATTCAGACGTTCTCGCGTTCTTATGAAATGTTTGAGTTATCTAGTCTGAATAAGTGAACAAAACCACACAAATGAATTCACAGACACATCTGACTCGCAGATCAGTTTGTGTCTCTTCAAAATGAGATGTAACTGATATAGATCTTATGGTAGCGCTACTGTAAGCAGTCTAGCTTATGGAAGAAAAATGTATGCCTTTCTTTGTTGTGTTAAAAAGGAAACTCCTGGAGAACAGTGAAGCACCAACCGTATCACTTGAAGCGCCCAAGAATCATTCGCTTCAGTCTTCCCCCAGCATTGAGGAGACGCAAGTCACAACTACACATCGGCTGTCTGGCTCACACCCCTTGGATGGGTTGGACTCACAGTTCCTGGAGAGTTATGATAATGTGACCAGAGGCAGCAGCACTGACCCAGACTCTCAGTACTACTGTGACAAGGTCAGAAAAGCCCACAGTTTAATATAATTTCTGTTTCTTTGTGGTTTTGTGTCTTCCCATCGGTGACTCAGGAGAGAAAAATAAAACAGGCTTCCTTTCTTAAAGAAAAGTCAGTTCTATATTTTAAGCCTTGTGTATTCATTATATACTGCTGCAAATTTTAGAAGAACCACCTACTAAAAAAGAAAAAAAAATGCTTTAAATATGAGTTAGATAAGGAGTTTTTAGAAGCTTATTTTTTATTTTACAAAACTCCAATTCCACCTCTCACGTCTTTCAAGCAAATCACAAAATCATTATCTAGTCTTAAATAAAATGCAATTAAGTAGTCAGTTTTAAGAAATAAGCTCTATGATTTTAATAGACCATATAAAATCAGCATAACCTGAAACTTACAGTAATTTACAAGTTCAAGAACATTAAGAAAACGTGTAGAACCATCTCAACATTATGTGACAGATTACTACTGAAAGATGAAACTGAGGGGTTGTAATAATGGTGGGGTTACTAGACATGGACTTTCCTTTTAGAAATAGATTGTTAATTGTGTCATATGATAATTGTTTGGAATGTGGGATGTTCACATTTTTGTACTGTACCTATGTGTATCCAGGTGTAGTCAATAAGAGTATGAGTTTGGAGTGGTGCTCAGTACAGTAGTGTTTTAATTAGAGAAGCCTTGCTTGCTTTTGTTCCATTACAGCCAGAACCTGCTCCTTTCATATCCATTCATTAGGACCTTCTCACATGAAGCAATCTGACAATGCTGCTCTCCTGAATGTGGCAATCTTGATCCAGTGTAGACAGGCCCTTTGTTTAGTTGATAAGGGAGGAGTCAATGTTACCCTTTTTGATAAATCTTTGATGAGCTGTTTGATGAAAAGTTAATTAAGATTCTTTAAATGAAGGTGAAGTTCAGAAGGCTTGCTAAGCAGCCCCTGGCTCCCATTTGCATGTACCTTCCAAATTCACAAGTTCACAAGCTTGAGTCAATGTTAGCTGCTATTACCTACTGCATGACGGATTAGCCACGGCTTTTCTACGCAGACGCAATTGTAAAACTATTGATTTAACTTTCGTATTTTTTTTATCCTGCATGGCAGTTAAAAGGTTAACTAGAGCTTAAATGTTTTGCATTTGCTGGTTACCTTCACATTCATAAGCTTTGCGGCCATTTAAGCATTGTTTCCTGGAAAATTGTATCAGGTTAACACACATTGAGGCAATGTAGTCATTATTAAAAGATAATTTACACTGAAGAGGGTGCTAGGGACTGCTGCCTAACACTAGAGGCAGACAGTTATTCATGCCCTTCCAATTTTATTGTTAGACTTGTTAGATAAATCCTCTTTCACATTGCAAGTGCATTAGTAGTATAGGCAGGTCAGTCTGAAAAGGGTCTTTATAGTACATTGCCTTGCTCAGCTGGAAATAGTGCCGCAGAGTTGACTGGAAATGGCTTTCATTGCTCAAGTGATGGGTGGGTGAAGTATGCAGCCCTGCAGAACATTGAAAGCTTTGCAGTTATTCAGGATTTCTTTGCTGTCCCAGGCAATGTTGCAGCTCCTTCCCTGAAATGTCAGGCCTGTGTATGTTTGTATTGTGTGGTGTCCGTGTCATGTGCGATGTCACTGGGAAGCACAGACTCCACTGACCTCACTGTTCCTTTGGCCCCATTTTCAACTATGGCAGCAGGAGCAGAGCTAGTTCCCTTAAGCAGGAACTTGATAAGCTGCTTTGGTCTTTCCTTATTATTTCTTAGGGGACAGGTATCTTTCAGTCATGGCGTATGAAAAATGTCTTTATCTCTTTCCCTTTGGATCTGTATAGAATTGTACAGGGCTGGTAATCCCAGAGTAGTGCTGACCTGTCCCGAGTATTGCTGCCATTCACACCAAGATACAAGTTTCTTTTTGTATGCTGCTATAGGAATGCAGCACTCTGATATTACTGCTATATTAATGTAACATTCCTATACTGCTGCCAGTCTTCTACAAAGATGTGACAGAGCTTGTAGTACCATGTAAAACTCATCACCTGCCCAAAAACATTGTAATGTAATGGGACTTAATTTATAATAATATTAACACAAATGACATGTATTTTATTACAACACCTGGCTCACTGGGATCATGATGCAGAACACGATTTCTAAGCCAGCAGTCATTAGCAGACTATATAGGTTCTCTTGTTTAATGTCGCTTATAACGAAATGCAGATATTTTACTGGCTTGGGTGCATACATTAGTTCTATTACTGTGGTACAAGCTTCATGGGCTTTTATTGTGTTCTTAATGTTTGGGGCTATAATTCAGAGATCTGTGCAGAAGGGCTAAATCTTCAGATAATTCACCCAGATTGACCCAAAAAAAAAAAAAAAGATTTTCAAGGAATACATTATCTGTCTCTATCTGAGGGAACTTAATTTTATTTTATTATAACAGTGTTAGCAAAAAAGAAAAAACTTGTTCTTATAGTGTACAAATCAACACTGCCTGATTCTGTGGTTGGTCTGTGTTTTATATTAGCTGCATTTTACTTTTGTGTACAACAAACTACTATCTCTTTTTCCCTAGAATGAGATGGTAGATGGTGACCTTCTGTTGATTCGGATAACCCCTGATGAAGAGGGCAGGTTTGGATTTAATGTAAAAGTGAGTTTAAAATTCTTATCGTCTTTGTGTATACAGTACCTCCAATGTTTATTCATACACCCAATGAAATGGCAAGAAAAACATCATGGCACTCATGGTACAGAATGAGTTAGTGACTAGATAATGTGTCTTCCTTAAAAAGTCAGTTCTAAGAATGTTATACTGTAGTAGAATATGCAGGATTGTGTGCTATCAACCATTGTATCATTATACTGGAGGCAAGACAGAATTGAGGTAAGAACGTTAAGAACGTTAACTGTGGTAGAGAGAAGCTAAACAATGTGAATCTAACAGTGGTTTAACTGCTGAAAATTGAAATTGTAGCAACAAGCTGCAAAAGCTCACAAATTAAGTGAATGTGTGACATACAGTGCCCTCCAGCATTATTGGTACCCTTGGTAAAAATGAGCAAAACAGGCTATGAAAAAATGTCTTTGTTGTTCATCAGCTTGACCTAACACTGAAAATATGAAAGAAATCTAGCCTTTTAGTGAGGTTCAATTATTCAAAGAAAAAATAAATATTTTTTCTCAAAAACACGTGTCACAATTATTGGCACCCTTGCATTTACAGTAGTACTTTGTGCACCCTCCCTTTGCCAAAATAACAGCATTGAGTCTTCTCTTATAATGCTGGATGAGGTGGGAGAACACATACAGTGGTGTGAAAAAGTGTTTGCCCCCTTCCTGATTTCTTATTTTTTTGCATGTTTGTCACACTGAAATGTTTCAGATCATCAAACAAATTGAAATATTAGACAAAGATAACACAAGTAAACACAAAATGCAGTTTTTAAATGAAGGTTTTTATTATTAAGGGGAAAAGAAAAATCCACACCTACATGGCCCTGTGTAAAAAAGTGATTGCCCCCCCCCTGTTTAAACATAAATCAACTGTGGTTTATCACATCTTTGGAAAGCTGAGTTCAATTTCTCTAGCCACACCCAGGCCTGATTACTGCCA